TTAGTAATTAATGAGGTATTGTGGAACGCGCGCTTAGTAATTCACCCTGTATATATTTTATAATTTTTCAAAGACGCCGAATTTGAAATTGTGCCTAAATAACCTTAGACCAATTTTTTTCTCAGTGATTTTTTACGTTTTCATTTCACATCATTTCACAATTAATCGTATACGAAAACGTAGTTTTGCGCTTTGGTCGGTCAGTTGTTTATCGAGTTTTTTTTATTTAAAACTCTTCAGTTTTTATTTTTCGATTTTGAACTATTTGGATTTCTCAATTTTTCGATTTTTCGACTTCTCGACTTTTCAATTTCCCGATTTTTCGATTTTTCGGTTTTTCAATTTTTCGATTTTCCAATTTTTCAGTGTTGCGATTTTTTAATTTTTCGATTTCCCAATTTTCCTCTTCATTTTTCAGTTTTTTGATTCTTCAGTTTTCCTAGTTTTTCAATTTTTTAAATTTTAGATTTTTCGATTTCCTGGTTTTTCGATTTTTCAACTTTTCGGCCTTTTGTTGTTTAAATTTTAGATCTTTTCATTTTTTAATTCATGGATGTTTTTAATGTTTCTTTCTTTTTCAATATTTTAATTTTTCGATTTTTTGAACTTTTAATTGTATGATCTTCCGATTTTTCGGTTTTATAATTTTTCAAAGGTTCTGGATTTGAACTTTTGCTTAAATAAACCTTAGACCAATTTTTTTCAGATGATTTTTTTATGTTATTTTCCCATAGCATTTCACAATTGATCGTGTACGAAAATGCAGTTTTCCGCTTCGGTCGGCCTTGGATCTTCGACTTTTTGATTTTTCGGTTTTCTTTCATTCAATTTTTCGATTTCAGTTGCCAGATTTTTCAATTTCTAGATTTTTCAATTTTAGAATTATTAATTTTTCGATTTTTAAATGTTTCGATATATCGATTTTCGATTTTTCAATTTTTCGATATTTCAGTTTTGTTTTTTTTTTCAATATTTCGATTCTTTAATTGTTGATTTTTTGATTTCTTAGTTTTTTACTTTTTTAGCTTTTTAAATTTTTCGATTTTTTGATGTTTCGATTTCTCGATTTTTGAATGTTCGATTCTTCAATTTATCGATTTTTTTTAATTTAAATTTTTTCACTTCTAATTTTTCGATTTTTCGACGTCTCAACTTTTTGAGTTTTCGATTTTTAAATTTTTCTATGTTGCGATCTTTCGATGTCCCAATTTTTCTTCATTTATGTTTTGAAACTTTTAAATTTCTTGACTTTTCAGAGTCTTCAATTTTTCAATTTTTTTAATTTTGTATTTTTCGATTTCTCGGTTTTTCGATTTTTCAACTTTTCGGCCTTTTGTTGTTTAATCTTTTAATTTCTAAATTCTTCGATTTTTTAATACTTATATTTCCTTTTCGATATTTTAATTTTTCCATTTTTTTAGCTTTCGATTATTCGATCTGCTGATTTTTTTGAATTATGGGAGTTCAATTTTTCACTTTTATAATTTTTGGAAGGCTCTGGATTTGAAGTTCTGCCTAAATAACTTTAGACCAATTTTTTTCAGAGTGATTTTTTTCTATGTTATCTTTCCATAGCATTTCACAAGTAATCGTATACGAAAATGCAGTTTCGTGCTTCGAATTTTTTTTATTTAAAATTTTTCAGTTTTTAATTCTTCTCGACTCTTCGGTTTTTCAATTTTCAAATTTTTCTTCATTTCTGTTTTGAAATTTTTAAATTCCTTGATTTTTCAGTTTTTCGATTCTCACAATTTTCCAATTTTTCAATTTTTAAAATTTTTCGATTTTTCGACTTTTCAGCTTTTCTATTTTTAAATTTTAGATTTTTTAATTTTTCAATTCTTCGATTTTCTAATATTTCTATTTCTTTTTCAACATTTAAAATTTTTCGATTTTTTGATATTTTGATTGTTCGATATGTCGATTTTTCGACTTTTGGGAGTTCGATTTTTCGGTTTTATAATATTTCGAAGACTCTGGATTTGAAGTTCTGTCCAAATAACCTTTTAGACCAATGTTTTGCTGAGTAATGCGATTTTTCGGTTTTGATTTTCCAATTTTTCTATGTTGCGATTTGTCAATTTTTCAATTTTTAAAATTTTTCGATTTCTTGCTTTTTCGATTTTTCGACTTTTCGATTTCAGATTTTTAAATTTTCCAATTCTTCGATTTTTGGTACTTCTATTTCTTTTTCTTTTTCGATATTTTAATTCTTCAATTTTTTTACTTTTGGGACTTCGATTTTTCGGTTTTATAATTTTTTGAAGACTCTCGATTTGAAGTTCTGCCTAAATAACCTTGGATCAATTTTTTTATGAATGATTTTTTTATGTTTTCATTTCATAGCATTTAACAATTAATCGTATACGAAAATGCAGTTTTGCCCTTCGATCGGTCAGTTTATCTGTCTGTCTGAAAGTTTTGAGCATTTTTCAAAAACCCCATCAATTAACTTGACATTTCAAGTTAATTTAGGATTTTTTTTAATTTTCCAAATTTTGTCAGATACCAAACCAAATTAGTGCTTATAGAACACTAATTCAAAATTACTTACTTCTTTATTCCCTCAAAAAAGTCGATATAAACTCATTAATGATATTTTCTATTCAAAGCGAAATATTTAAATTTAAATTTGAATTTTGTTGGAATAACATTAGCAGCTAGCGGAATTCCTTGTAATGAATGAATGAAATGATAGTTCGATTGTAAACCTAACTTTCACGTAAACACAGTCGTGGCTCGTGAATTCCTCACACCAAATTATGAACTTATTACCACTTTTACCCTTTGCCGAGGGCCAAGAGAGTTGCCACAGTAAGCTTTGTCAATTACGCTCTCCAGACGTGCTTAAAGAGCTACTTACAATCTTATCGTGCTGCATAAAAGAGCATACTTCGTTGCGGAAGTGCCTCGTAAGTATAAATTAAAAAAGAGCAGATAATTAAAAATGGATTACAAAACTTGTATTTATAGCGTTTTAAAATCAACACCAGTGGCGGCTCGTCAGGGGAGGCAGGGGAGGCAGTGCCTCCCCTGGAAAAATTGACTATTAGTTTTTGTTTTAATACCTCTCAACTTCAAATATATTTTAAAGATATAGCAAATAACTTTTATAGAACACTGTGATTTATTAAAACGCGTCTTGGTAACATATTTTGAAGTACGCGCTTTCGACAGGAATAAGCGCTGATCATCACCGTGTAGGCCAACTTCAGACGGAGGCATGCCTCAGATAGACGGATATCTTCAGTATGATTAGTCAGTGGTGCTAATATGTTTTTGAGAAAGACAATAGTCAGCAGTGGTTTATCAAAGCGCCAGCGGAGGCACCAACGCCTACCGTCCTTAAGCCAATCGGATCGAATTTTTTAATCTCACAGTGAAACTGCACAATGCTGAACAGGGATGCTGAATGCATTTAGCGTGCATTTAGTTGTGCATTAATTAGACGCGAGAAAAGGTGTTCACTGCATGTGCATTGCCAAGGTTATGTATTAAAACTTTTAAGTTAAGTTGAAAACATTAGGACCATGAAAATGCCAGTTTTGCAATGCTGATAGGAACTAAGAATCTCTCACGATATTGTAGAATTTCTTATAAAGTTTAAATATTTAAGCACGGTTTTCTTACGACGAACAGTTGTATGTCAAAGATTTAGGAACCTCTCATCCCAGATTTGAGCAGAACTTTATTAATTAATTGATTAATATATTTAAATCAGCCCTAGATCATATGAATTAAAATTTATGCTAATAAAGCAAATTCTGTAGTCTTTACACATTCTCGTTGGTTTGTGAGAAGCAATTAAATGTTTTTTATTCGAAAAGGGTGGAAATATGTTACTGACTCAGAGTTATTTGTATTGTTTTCATAAAAACGGATAAAGAATCTGTCTTTTTACAAAAGTAATTGCGAACATGTTAATTAATACCTGCTGATTTTGAAACGAAAATGTTGCCTCCCCTAACGGAAAGACCACGAGCCGCTACTGATCAACACCTTACTTAAACTGGAAATTTTCATGAAAGCAAATACTTCTCATAATTTAATTTAGCATTTATGTAATCATTATGATAAATATTAATAATTGCAAAGTACAGGAGTATGTTATTCTATAAAATTTAAATACCATTTGCTATGCAAAATTTTAGGGTGACGTCATCAAATTGTTGGTGGGAATGAACAAGCAAATTCTAGTTAGCGTTTTTTTTTAGTGCAGAACTCCTGACGTACATATAAAATTTGACGACAATCGGTCCAGTAGTTTCGGAGATTATATGTGTAATCACAGAGTGCCTTCTCACCTAAGTAGATTACTGATAATTACTAAATGGTAATTTGTAATAAAGGCATGACAGAAACAGAGAGAACGAAAAATTTCATGTACTCTTATATGCTCTACTGTTTTTAGTAAAAATGAAAAATAGTGATGTGTAATTAGTTGAGTCGTGGTTGTGTGTGTGAGTGTTAATTAATTTGATGGTGGTAATTTGTTTAATTAATTTCAAACAAGCACCAACAGGTGACGGTTAAGACTCGTTGATAAGGGTCACGTTCGGTCAAATGAGGTCCACGTCACATCTTGGCAATCTCTGGTTTTAATTTTTGTTAGACACCTATCCAGTACAAGTATTTCACATGCAAAAACTTTAAACAATGCCGATTTTTTACAATAAATCATTTTTATCAAATAAATTAATTTAAAAAGATAATTTAAATTTTTCATAATTCTTTGGAAAAAGTTTAGATTATTATATCTCATAAAAATCACGTGGCCCAAGGGCAAATTTTTCGCCCGGCCCTCGTATTCCGTTCGTCTCTTCTACAAGCCTTTGCAATCTCTTTATTTTACAAACACGCTTTCGTTAATTCCCCTTTTTGGAAGCGCGTAATTTCTTTGTTTGTCCATTTTGTAAAAATAGGATTTTGTTTTTCCACATTTTGCCTCCGCCCTCCCTTTGTGCCTCGTATTTGTGTGTTGACCGCTTTCCTCTTTCCAGGCTCGAAATGGAGCAAATTCGGTCTGGAAGCTTTCAGCGTCAAGAGCCCCACACCCGCCAGGAAAAAAACGATCACTTGACAGTGAAATGGCTGTCCAATGCGGTGGCGGAATTAAAAACTGAGCTGTCTGAAGTTCAGAACACCCTGAATTCCACCGTAATCCTGCAAAATCACGAACAAGTAGACACCGAGCTCAGTTTATTAAAAAGCGATGTGTCCAATCTCAACAAAGAATTGGAAGTCGCGCGGAAGAAGAACGCCAAGTACGAGGCAGATCTTCTCTCGATCCGCGAAGAATTAGCATCGCTTAAGGATCATTCCAGGGCGACGGCTGTCATGTGCGGAAAGACCAAGAATCAGGTGAGTTTTTGGGAATTTCGCCCCGTGGGAGCAGACTAACAATGAGCTTGTTAGTGGTTGAATCGAAGTTTTGACGCTTGTTGTTTTAGCCTCTTATAACTTGTTACGTTGTAATATCAACTATGGTACAAGGGTCGTGTTAAGTTTATTAACGTTATTCACTGCAGAGTGAAGATGTATGAACGCCTAAATATCCTGCAGCGAGCGTTGGCTCAACCTTAATAATCAATACGTTAATAATACATTTACAGACGAAAATTAATTTATTATTCATTAGGTGTCTGTGCATGTCAATATCTTGGTTGATTGAGAAATTTGATTGCATCTAGTACACCGAAATTTCGGATAAATATACTATTTCGGTTGTTATGAAATGTCCAATCTGGTATTAAATTACTGCAATTACGTGAACCAGGACTGAATAATTCATTTGTTTGACTTCGTTTTTTCAATTTGTGTTATAAATATGGAAAATATTTTGTATTCTCCATAAATGAATAGTTTATACATTGATTTTTTCAATGTTTAAATATTTTTTTAACAATCATGTCAAAATAATAAAACTTATAAATATCACTAATTTGTTGTGTAACGGTCAGCTCATTTTTGTACTCATTGGATTCGAAAATTCCTAAAATTTAGAAAATTATTTAAGGCTTAAGGGGGGCGTCTGCGCGCCAATTTTAGCTCTTTAGGAAAGTCTATTTTAAAGATTCGAGAGGCGCTGTCCCCTGATGGTGAGTTACTGAAAATATCGGTAAACTACAGATCTCTATTATTGATTATTATTTATGAGTGAGGGGGAGAAGCTTTTTTTCTCTCAATACCTTAATATGATATTACACTGTGTATTACCTGAACTAAATAGCTTTATATTAATTTGGAAAATACAGGAATCTATTAGTCGTGCAACAGTTAGGGCTACAACTTTTTTTGTTCGACCTTTTCAGTATTGAAACCGGAAGCAGATTACTACGTCCTTCTGAATTTTAAGGCGACATCCCTACAATAGAATTATTTTTTGGCAAGATGTTGCAAAACTGTACCAATTGCGATAAATGGCATGTTTCTGTTTGTCTTTGTCTGATACACTGTAGGCAGGTAAAGACTGCCCGCACTTCTTAGCATTTTAGGGGTGGAAACGTACTATAGCACTCAAAAGTATTGTCGGTACCCCTCGCTCTGCGGGTTGTCATAATTCCTTAAACACTCAGATAGAATAAAATGGAGAAGTACTTAAGTTTTCTTGCTTCTTTACGTAGAAACTTTGTTGCAGTATCACACAATAAAATATTTTCAACTTAGAAAGTACTTTTCTTAAGATAAAAGTGGATGAATGGAGTTTAAACAAACCATTATTTTTTAACAAAAATGAATATTTAAATTTATCAAGGGTAGATTTTAAATGGGAAATGGTGTTTTTATCAACCTGAGTTAGTGAGAAATCAAATAAACTAACGAATATTGACAATTCGATAATAAAACAAGACGAAACCTCGGAATGAAATATATAAAAATTATCTTGTATTTTTATCTTTCATCTGTTTCAATTTTGGGACTTTTAAATACTTCGACTTTTAAATTTTTCGGTTTTCCGACTTTTAGTGTTTTTGATTTTTTAGTTATTCGATTTTTAAAATTTTTCAATTTTTCGAATTTTTAAATTTTAGATTTTTCACTTTTTTGTTGTTTCGATTTCTCAGTCTTTCGATTTTTTGCCTTCTCGTTTTGAGATTTTTCCATTTTTCAATTTTTCGGAACTAATTTTTCAGTTTTTCGACATTTCGATTTTTCAATTTTTAATTTAACGCTTTTCTTTCGATTTTTCACCTTCTCGTTTTTAGATTATCACATTTTATATCAATATACGAGCACTGGAGGACGCCGGGGCTCGAAAATTTTAGAATATAGTAATGTTGCGTCCGCGTATATTTAATAAATGATAAAATAAAAACCGTCATAATAACACCGACTTGATGTATTGTAGCTTAATTAATAATTTTAATCGGTTCCTCTGTTTTGAGGAGACAATTGGCTGCGTGCTTAATTGCATCGCATTCTTTCGATGTATAAACATAAACAATTAAAGTTAAGCATGTACTAATAATATATTTTTATTTCAAAGCCGAGGGAAGATTTGCCTAAATAACTTTAGACTAATTTTTTGTGTTTAAAACAAAAAGTCTTGCAGGCGCCTCGTGTTTTTTTTAATATAAAAAAATCTTCGGACCCTCTTGTGTTTTGTTTTTAAAATAAAAAATCTCGAGGATCCATGGAGTTCTTTATTTGGAAAGAATTTTACAGAATCTAATGGGCTCGGGCTCCTAGTGTAATTTTTTTTTTAATATGTGATGTCTCATTTTTGAAGGAATATTGTCAAAACCTAAAACCTGAAAAATCAGGAATTTTAAAAATCTAAAAAATCAAAATCCAAAAATCCAAAAATTAAAATATCGAATAGATGGAAATGTTAAAAAACGTAAGATTTAAAAACTCGCAAAATTTTGAAAAACTGAGTAAGTAAAAAATCAAAAAAACAAAGTCGAAAATTTCTGAAAATTTAAAAATCGAAATCTTGAAAAATCCGGCAGTTGAAAAATCCCAAAACAGAGAAATCGAAAAATTCATGAATCGGAAAATTAAAAAATCGATTAATCGAGAAATTGAGAAAACGAAAAATCCAAAAATTTAGAAATGTCAAAAATTGAAAAACTGAAAAATCGAAAAGACGAATAATCGAAAAACTGAGTGATCGAGAAATGGAAATCAAAAAATTGAAAAAAAGCGAAATCGAAACATCAAAAGACCGGTAAGTCGAAAAATCGAAAAATTGAGATATCGAAATAGCTAAAGATTAAAAAATGGGAAAATTCAAAATTGAAAAATTTGAACTTAAAAAACCCGGTAAATCGAAAATTGAAAAATCGAAATATCGAAAAACTGAAAAATTAATTTCGAAAAATTGGAAAATCGAAAATTCTAAAAACGAGAAGGCAAAAAATCGTAAGATTGAGAAATCGAAACAACAAAAAGTGAAAAATCTAAAAAAAAGTTTTTTGCGCCACTTCATTCCGAAAAAATTACACCATTCTTTAAAATTCTCGGGCTTGTTAATTATCTATTTCAGTCATTGTAATTTCATAAATGTTTTGTAATATACATGTACGTAGCTTGTAAAAAACCCTGAAGATGACGTTAATATGTAATCAAGTCGAAACATGTCGTAATCAATCAGTTTCTTAATGAAAAACATCCCCAATTGAAAAAATTGAGTGAGCAATCGAAAAAACAGGCGAATACTGACAATTTGAAAATGATACAAAGCCAAGTCTCTGAATGAAATGTATAAAAATTAATACAAAAATAAATTCCATTTAACAAATCCGTAGTCTGAAATTCAATTTACAATTGTGCAAAATGTTGATAATTTTTTTTCTATTTTTTCTCCCAAAATTTTATGACGTTATATCCAATTTTGCTAAGGAAATTGACGCTTACGCTTACGCTTTTTACCTGTTGCGGATTCTTTTCTTCTTTTTAATAATACCTGGGCTTCGTTTGAACACAAAATATTGACATATTTAATTTTTTTTGATTTCTTTGATCTCCACCAAAAACTCGGTAACAACCTTGCAAAAAATTATTATTACTTCAAAAAACAAGGTTTCATACTAATTTTGTTTTTTTTCCAGATAATTAAAAATAATTAGTTTTAAACAAATTTATTTGTGGTTAAAATTTTATTCCATATTTATTATATTATATATATTTTATTTTTTTTAATGCTAAAACTTTCGGTCGTGTTTAAAGTGGTCCAAAAATAGGTGAAGTTTATAATTTTTTTAATTATAAACTATACACTAGACATAAATAAGTATAAATTAGGAGCCCCTCGGGATTCGAGTTTGTTCATTCGAAATATATACCTCTTTAAACCGATATATCTCATATTTTTAAAATTCTCAATTCCCGAAACGGCGTTGATGTCCCCCATGTATCTAAGATAGGATGAAACCAGATCAGACGCAAGCCTTAAGGCTCACAAGCAATGCACTTATCATTACAAATTTTAGACTGTATTGCGAATTCATTTAAAGCACCCCAAATTTCTGAAAAAGTTTGTTCAGAGATCTTGTGCAATATGCTAGAGTATCTGTGATATCTGCGGAAGTAATTTCCTTGTTGCGTGTTTTCTACTTAGTTTTAATTATATAACAGTTTAAATATTTTTTAAGGCTTTCGTTTTGTAGAAGAAGTATTAGTATGAATTACTGAGCTTATTTTGATTCTGGGATGCCGGAAATTGCGTCTAAATAGCTGCTTAATATGCAAAATTTATCAAGTTTGCTCAGTATGTAATTAGTACAGGATTTATTTATTCATTAGTTAATCATAGGCGATTGCATTTTGTACCTTCCGCAAAGTTCTTACCTTTTAGCCAAAATTAAATTAAAATTATGTGCAAATAAATGCGGATTTTTTCTGGCCGCCACATAATTACTTACATTTTGTTCCTATAATTATAAGCTTAATTTTTCTTTATGATTGGTAGAGTCATTAGTATTAAAAATAATAACTACTCCTAGTAATTAGAATGGATTAGAATAGAACCGCAGTAATGGATTAAAAGTTTCTGAGTCGTTCAAACATAATTAACAGTAAAACGATACTGACTTTGGCCATTCAATAATACTCTGTTGTACAGACATGCGTACAAATTTAAACTATAAAAAGTTAATAGTCAGATTCCATTGGATGTGTAATAATATAATTAAGCATATTCCAATAAAAAAAGGCAGAATCCCTTCGTTTACTTTAATCCGAGCTCCAAAGTTTGAAGATTAAAAGTTGAAGGCGCGTCGCACAGCGGGCGTCGCTTAAATAATCTTAAAATCAGAAATTTCCTGATAGATTGCAAACTTTTCATTCTTATTAGGTCAGTTTAAAGCATAATCCGAGAAAATAGCGTCGTCAGATCCACCTAATCCCCAATAAAAGCACGAGATAATAACGAGAATTTAATAAAGGTGGATTTTATCGCGAGTGTCGCTTGTAAAATTTTATTTTAAATGATGTTGCGTAATAGTTGTTTTGTGTGTGGAATAAAAATTGCGTGCCGAAGGGGCGTTCGCTGAAATTGAACACAGTAAATTATAGGGCCGGAAGGAGGAAGGAAAAAATTTGTTCCGCAAATTGAATTGAAAAATAATAATAAAACGGATACTTGTTGGATGTGCAGCGGGCGAAAAACCTAAAAGGCAATTGCAAAATTTACGCGTAATGGACGCAACAAATGTGTAATTGTTGTCGGATGTTTGAAGCATGTTATTATTCCAATTTAGTGGCTGCATAAAAAATCCAATTAATTTTTTAATGAAATCTGATATGGACAAAGGAGCAGGGTGTGCTTGGAGGTCTATAATAACCCACCGAATTAATAAGCAGGCATCCCTTTGTTGACTTAAAATTATGTCGAACAATTTCGGAATTGAAGCAATTAAGTGGACGATAGAGGATAGGCGACAAGAAAACCGATCCAAGTTCCTCTCAATGGGAATTTTTGCGGTGACTCTTCTCCAGTTAATGGAATTCTTATGTTCCAGATATTATTACGACAACATAATTCAGGACTTTCGTATTAAAAAGTAATGCCGCTGTATTACAGAGCGAACTTCCGTCAGACCTAATCATCGTCGATGTCAAGCGGAAAAGTTAATTAAATTTTCATTGAGACGCAAAATTTAGCAAAGTGTACAGTAAAATTATAAAGAGGCTTATCCCACACATTCCTCAACTTTTTGTTGAGTGATTTCTGACTGTAACTTTAATTAGAAAGGACACTCAACCAGAACACTATAAATGCATTGTAATTAAGAAACCTTGTTTTAATTGATAATAATAGTTACACGAGTTGCTTTATTTGCATCCGAAAGCCCCCATTTTTAATAAAAATAAATGAGCACAAAGTTCTAGAGAGAAGCTATTTACCCAAACTATGCGGTTGAAGTTTTAGATACATGAATGTAGCCAACAAAAGCCCGTAAGGCTTTCACAAGTCTGTAGTTTAATATACCGAATCTAGCCGTTCTTACGAGCCACGATTTAATATTAAATGAATTTATTTCCAAAACTCTTGGGAAAATATGGCTACGTTCATGTTCAATAACTCATAGTTATTCATATTGAATTGAAAAATATTTAACGCTGGGTATGTTTTATGGGTCTATACATGAATCTTATGTACAAAACAAAATGAAAGGTAAAATAAAGTTTGTCCTCTACTTATTTACGAAAAGTATAACCTTTCAACGTTTTCTGAGTTCACCTCGTATTTACAGTAGTGAGAAATTTGACATCAGGATTCCCTCTGGCACTTTTTTCCTCTACAGTTTTAATGTTCAAGTTTTGCAAATTTCCACCTCTCACAGTGGATTATGTCTACCTACTGTTTACCGTATAAATATTTTGTGCTCTATTTTTTAAGTCTGAATGAAACATTCTCTCCACCCCTGTTACACAATCTTTTCTCGACTGAACCCTGGAATATGAAAGGTTTCCTTTTTCCGTCCGTTAGCAGTTTTATTAGATACATAATTTTTGTAACTACTGGACTGATTGTTGTGAAATGTATTTTAGGAATGATAAACCGTCAACCAAGTGTTTCTGATCATATAAGTTTTTCATTACTGCACCTTGAAATTTTTATACTTCTATACGCGTGATTTATGAATCCGCCTTTGTTTTTACTTTCGAGATCTAGATTGTTGTCATTAGTATTACACTGTAGCTATCCAAGTTTGTCCCTACTAAAAGTTGATGACATCATCATAAAAAAATAAAATTTGGAAAATCTATTTAATTTTAAAATTTTTCGAAGAACTGCTTCACTGCACTTCAGGAGCGAGGGAAGTTCTTTCTAAATACGATATACAAATTTATTGAGTTTTGTTCCCGTCACTTATATACTTCGTACATTCTATATGCTGTTATAATTTTTGTTTTTTCTATTAATTCTGTTTTTAAGGCATAGTACAAAACTTATTTTTTTTTAAATGGAACACCCTGTACCGGGTGTCTGGGAAATGGCGGATTAATTCTCCGCTACGTTCTTAACAATCCGTCGGGTGAGTCTGGGAAAAATATAAAAAAAATTCTTCTCACATTTTGGTGGTTATAAAAATTTTAAAATTGGTTCTTTTGCTGCGTTTAGCAACTAAACAACACATTCATTATCACAATAACTAGTAATACAATTTTTAGTTAATATTTCTCTAGTTCATTACCATGTTTAATTATGTCATTTGCCAAAATCGGTGGTATTTTAGCAGATACTAGCCCCGCCCACCCACCCTCTCTTTTTTTAGAGGGTGCCATTTGCCAAAATCAGTCTTATCTTGCCAGCTACTAGCGCCGCCCACCCACCCTCTCTTTTCTTAGAGGGTACATCATTTGCCAAAATCGCTCTTATTTTAGCAGGTACTATCCCCGCCCACACGCCCTCTCTTTTCTTAGAAGGTATCTCATTTGCCAAAATCAGTCGTATCTGAGCAGGTACTGGCCCCGCCCACCCGCCCTCTCTTCTCTTAAGGAGTATCTCATTTTCCAAAATCAGTCTTATCTTGGCAGCTACCGGCCCCGCCCACCCACCCTCTCTTTTGTTAGAGGGTATGTCACTGCCAAAATCATTTTTATCTTAGTAAGTACTGATGGTTCACTTTTACAAAAAATGATCAAAATTTGAAAACATTACCAGCTTACTTATATGCACAAGGCTGAAGATTTAATCCGCCTTTTTCCAGACACCCGGTATAGCTTTGTATATTTTGAATGACTTCCTCTTAGGCTTTACAACCACAGTTTATTTTTGAAAATAAAAAAAAAAATTAACAATAGAAGGCTTCACAAAAAGCCACAAAAGGGTTATTTTTAACATCTGTGTTGCAACGTTTTGTTGAGAGATAAAGAAAAGTACGTTCTGTGTTGTGGTGTAAATGAGGTTAAATTTCATATACAGAGTGTTTATAAAAATAGTTTAATTGTTACAATTTTCAAATATCGATATTTCAGTTTTTTCAAATAGAACAGCTTATATTTTACTACTGCATCTTATTTTTTATTCTCTTTCTTTTTGTTGAGTATTTTCTATATTTATTTAACGTTGATAGTCCCTGCGATTTTTTACTTTTTTAAGGGACACATCCCCATATTAGAAGAATGAGGACAAAAAAATAGAGTAAAATACAATAATAAAATACAGGATGTTCCATTTGAAACAAGATTTTTTTATTAACACTCTGTATATTAAAATTTAATTTAGTTGTTACTACGACAGCAGGGCGTATCTTTATTTATCCTTCGACAAAATATTCTAAAAGAGACTTTAAAGAGAAACCTGTTGCATTTTTTTTGTGAACCCTTAATTTGCCAAAAAATTTCAAGAAAATTAGAATAACGTGGCAACGTCGCATCGAATTGTCAATCGTAAACTATGGTTGTGAAACCTAAGAAAAAGTCAACCAAAGTATGTAAATATGTGTAGATGGTATAGTTAAAAATAATTTTAGAGTCTAACTTTAGTCTTTGTCTTTTTTTCTGTCTCTGATGTGATAAAAGAAATATCGAGGATCACGCGCTTAATGACTCATCCTGTATATATTCCCCTACGATTGTTGTCTTATCATATTTTTGTCTTACTCTGTCGAATTTTTAATTTTTAAAGTGCCATATTGAAGTACTTATAGTTTTGTATCTTTATTTTCGAGTCGTGTTACTTTCATCATCATTTATCATTTCATTTGGTCTTTCTTCTATACATTGCTTTGCCTTCACCTTTTCGTTTGTCTTGAAGTGACATTTTTACACTTCTTGTTATCCATAATCCATAATACAGCGTCCATTTTTATCAAAACGGTTCACTTATTTACTGACAACATTTACTTTACACTAAAATCTAAATAATATCATCACCAATAATAATCTTAAAACTTATATTACAAAAAGTAAACTGAATTGTTTTAAATGACATTAAGAAAAAGCAGGCTGTGTCAGACAAGTCAAACATTAATCGAAAACATCCGTCATGCTCGAAAAACCCAACTTCCAAAATGGCGCCAAATCCACCAGGGTTTGGTGCGACGGCTGCTACGACCTGGTGCACTTTGGTCACGCGAATTCCCTACGACAGGCCAAAGCTCTCGGGGATCACCTCGTCGTCGGAATTCACAGCGACGAAGAGGTCACCAAACACAAAGGACCTCCGGTTTTCACTTTCGAGGAGCGCTGTAAGATGATTTCGGCCATTAAGTGGGTAGATGAAGTGGTGGAAGGCTCTCCTTACGTTACGGATTTGGAGATCCTCAACGAGCACGCTTGCGATTTCTGCTGTCATGGAGACGATATCACGTTAACAGACGCCGGAGAAGACACCTACCACAAGATCAAGGAAGCTGGGCGGTACAGGGAGGTCCAGCGAACCCCTGGAATATCGACCACGGGTTTAGTTGACAGGATTTTAGCCGTGGCGGAAAAAACGAATCGGAAGGAGCTGGCGAAGTCCCCGTGGACCGGTTCCAGCAAGTTCCTCCTCACTGCGGGAAAAATCGTCCAATTCTCACAGGGAAGGCCGCCGAAGGAAGGAGATGTGGTTAGTAGAGTCCAGTTCGGGAAAAAATGGGGTGGCGTCTTGAATGTCTCCAAATCGTGTGTGTCATACTCAAGTTATAATTTTTTACTATTTTGAATTATCTCGGATTTGAGAAAGGTTCCGATTAAACACTTTGTATCGGTTTATTTGCTTCACAGCCAGATGTGATTCCACTACGACTAAAACACAGAGCAATTCTGCGATATGTTCTGTTTTCCTGAACAGTTTTTAATTAAGTTTTTTATTGTTCTGTTTGAATCCTCATTCTAATGTGATGTGTAAAGATAACGTAAGGAGCGTGAAGAGGATTCGCTGCTCATATCTGTTTAACGTAAAACGCTAGTTTAATTAAATTTTAGAATTGCTTTACCTGATTAAATATAATTTGAATTGGAGACAATCTAATAACGACAAAATTGAGGGTTTTATTGGCAGACCCTTTCGTAACGACAAATAATTAATCCTAATTAGCATTTTTAATGAATATTTGGAATATATACCGGTTGGTGATTCATTATAATACACAGGACACAAATTTAAATAAACAGCAATATTTTCTGTTGCCTTTTCATTATCTTCATTTAGTTCTTAAATAACGCAAGAATAAAATTCAAAAAACGAACTATTAACAGCTATCGAGTAGTCACACAAATTGATTTAATTGCCTACAATAGGGACTATTTTACCAAAGAAGAAACAATGTTAATACAGCAAGAATTCAAGCTATAATTTCTGTCTTTCAATACTTGGTAACAAATTATGTAAATACAAAAGAATTTGATGATAAAAGGAAAATAAAATTGTTGATAATGTTATGTTACAGAATGCGCAGAATAAAAATATTTCGCTGAAACAATTTCGGAATACATTTACTTTTAAGAGTAAAAAACAACAACCAGAAATGAATTCTTATAAATACAAAAAACATCGGCAAATATTTGTGGAGAATCAAGAACAAGGCTGAATCTTGTAAAATCGTGATGGAACGTGCAAATAATGATTTTATGACACTTATTTCTCGTATTTTATTAAGAAACGAATGTAAATTTTCGTCAACAAAATTATCGATGCTGAAGTACCAATAATAAATTTTTGTTTTATAAAAACTTATCCAGTTCAAAGCAGTTCACTTAACCGATACCCTTTATTTAAAATTATGGGAGGAAATAATTAAGACATCAAATCAAAGTTGGCACCAACATTGGCCTCCAAGGTCCCCAGATTTGGGTCCAAAGGATTAATTCTATTAGAGTTGTTTGGACGACTTTCTGGATTTGGGTAAAACTTACACAGATTTGGAAGAGTTGAAAGCTGCTATAACTCAAAGATCAAATCAACTAGCCTGCGAAGATTTAGACAGAATAAGTAGAAATTTCGGTTATTTCATATTGTTTTTTTTTGTATTTTTTTCTAAATCGGTGTTTTTATAGTCACATTAAGTTATAATCGACTATCTTACTGTTTTATGAGTTGGTATTCCTGACTAGCATAATTCAAAAATTCGACAGAAATTATTTATCACAGCGGAACGATTTTCATATTATTTGTAAAATTTCAGCTGTTGAAAGCATCCAGAACGATATGGAAAGAACAACACAATTTTGTTTCTTTTTAATTTAAACTTTAAACTTGAAATTTGTCAGAGCTTGGTGTGCGAATATTGGACAGTAGCTTGCACGTTTACCAACTACAGCTGTCAGAATAAGTATAAATTTTTGTTTGGACGATTTGTTTTACGTAAGGACGCTACATTTTCTCACTAGAATAAAATAGCATAAAAAATGTTTTATAAGATCATTGTCAGTGTTCTTTGTAAAAATTCGCCGCAAGCTGTTTGTTTTACAATCCTGAACTCATATGATAATAATGAACCTTATAAAACATGTTTTTTAATATACTTTTGCGCTTCAAAAGATTTATTTCTGAAACTCTCTATGATTTATTTATCTTGTATACTCAAATTTCATCCTAATCAAATTTTAATTGAATAAATTTGTTGCGTAATGATAGATAATAAGTCTAAAATAATTTAATGAAGCTAAATTGACAATTATTTGATTAAATGGTACTTCACATGACTAATTATTATTATTATTTATTAATGATGATTTTTTAAGAACGGATGTCAATAAGTTTTTGAATTCTCTACAACTTTTCCCTCATCGAATTTGCTATAAAATCATCAAGGGAAAAAATATTACCGATTATTATTACTATAGGTGTAAATGTTCTTAATCCATGGGCACCCTTAAATTTTTGTAATATGTATACTCTCTGTGTGTATACATATGGGTGTTAATAAATTATTTACAACTAGTGAGCTATGAATTCAGTTATTAAACTTAAATTAATGCTAAACTAATTAATTTGTCAATTACTTGTCAAATTTTTAATCAAATTTTAACGTTTATTTTTTTAAATACAAAGGATACGTAAAAATGTGGACTACAGAAGAACATAAATTTATTATCGAAGCCCAAGAAGGCCAAGAGGTTGGTAAAGAATAATGATACTGAATTTTTGCCGTCAAAAAACTGTATTTTTCGGAAGCTAATTTTTTTTTATCCAATCGTATTCACGATCCTCGAGATGTAAATCATTTATTTTATTTATGGAAATTTCGGAATGCAGTTTTGGCCACTATTTTCGGCTTTTTGAACTCTAGGCACTACCCAAGAAATATTATCGACTTTTTTTGGTTGGAAATGAGGTACAGTAAAAGCATTTTTTTCGAAAAAATATTCTACTGTACCTTATTTCCTATAAAAAAAGTTTCGGGTATCTACAGTTCTGTAAGCTGAAAACAGTGGCGAAAACCGCGTTCCGAAATTTCCACAAGTAAATGGGATATCAATTTTTAAATATACGTAGTGAAACATGTCACCAAAATGCAAAAATAAGATGATAAACTGTTTAAAAAATATATACCGGGTGAAGGGGCTAGTAGCTGCTAAGATAAGACTGATTTTGGCAAATGACATACCCTCTAAGAAAAGAGGGTGGGTGGGCGGGGCTAGTGGTGTCATTAATGATGTGTACGCATTGATTCGTTGCTTCGATTTTATTAGGAAATTGATACAAAAATCTCAGGAGGGGCGTCGTCCCCCTGCCCCCCTCTCCTGGGCTCCCATGTATGTATCAAAACCAAATCACCAGCCTGTATATTTTCAAAGCTGCATAATAAATCTTTTGACAACAACAAAAAAGGAGTACTGTCACAAGTGAAAAACAAAAAGAAACAGAAATATGTGTTTAATGTATGCATTATGAAAAGATGAAAAGAACTAAAACGCTTTGTGCAAACTGAAACATCGCATATTCAGTAAGATATAATCACGTTTTATGGGGACATTAAAACATTAAAGGTGTCATTAACAGCATCATTATCTTTATCAACATCTCTGTTGAAACATATACATCAGTGTTTACTTACCCCTTTATCATGTTCACTTGTTCTATCGTCTTCAGCTGGAAAGAGTGTTTGTTTACCTGAATATAATAAATTAAGATTTTCCTAACAAGTGAAATATGTAATGTTTTTGGAACTTTTAGTGTAGAAATAGGAGGAATTTATTAACTTCTCCACAAGCTTTTTCCTCAAAATTGATTAAAAGGTAATAAATCTGAACAAGTTAATAAATGCCAAGAACTTCCACTCACTTTCATTTACATGACGCGAGTCAAGATTGTGTACGAAATATAGGCCCGCTGTATCTATTTTTTTAACGCATTCAGATGTATCGATCGTATTCCGTAACGTGAAAGAAATTGATGACGTCATTCCATTTTTTCATAAATCACCCCACAAACTTCTCCATTCCCGCACAGTCGTAGAGAAATTAGTTTCGTTTGCATGAAAAAGTGGAAATGTACGACCACAAAAGATCATTCCAAATCATATAGAGACACAAAATCCCACTGGTCGCATAAAAACTGCCTCGAAAAATAGTAGATTTTACGTCGCACGTACTTTTATCAATAAATCAACTGCACCAAATAATTTTGTCATTAAAAACTATGTGTAATTCGTGAAACCTTTTTCGCTCATTCCAGTGAGTCAAAAAAAAATTCGTTCCCATGAGTCAAACTACTCGCACTAGTTATATAAATAACTAGTTTGTGCTCGTACATTTTACTTCGTGTGGTCGCAGAGAAAATTAAAGTGAAGTCCACTAGGTGGTGTACGTGGTCGGCGCGTTCGATCTGTTCCACGTGGGGCACCTCCACTTCTTGGAGAAGGCCCGGGAGCTGGGGAATTACCTGATCGTGGGGCTGTACTCGGACCAGGTGATTAATCGGTATAAGGGCGATAATCATCCGATTATGACGCTACATGAGCGATTATTGAGTCTATTGGCGTGTAAATATGTCTCGGAGGTGGTGATAGATGCGCCGATGGCCGTTACCAAAGACTTAATGGAGTGGTTTAAAATTGATGTCGTCGCAGGTGGACGTTTTGGAGTGGAAGACGGAGCAGACTCGGACGATCCTTATAAATATCCTAAGGAAGTGAGGAAATTTGTTGAGATTAATTCCGGGAGTGATGTCACGACGGAAAAAATTATCGAGCGAATCGTTAAGAATAAATTAGAATACATGGAAAGGAACGAAAAGAAGGAAAAAAAGGAGCTTGACTTGATTAACGAGATGGAGAAGAAACAAGAATGGAAACAGACGAGCTGAACAATTCTATTATACAAATTATATTCGAATTTACATTTTTTAACTGTAATTTACTTATAAGGGATGGGCTGTTGCTGTTACTTTATATTGTACCGCTTTATTATTTTTATCTAACCGTTGACTTATTTTAACTTACTTGCTTCAATATATGAACGCATAGGATGTTAAACGTGTTTTACCTCAGGATTTTCAAATTTACCACTGGAAATTTTCTGCTAAATATCTCATTTATTTAATAAAAGGTTTTCCACTATCCACAAATCAAATTTGGGTCGACTTTAATAATAGAGCAGCTGAATCGTTGCTTTGCAGCAGTTTATCGACAGAAAAGTTCGATAGTTTTGAACAAAACCTTTTAGTCAACATTTTATAATCCGCTAGTCAGCAACTAAGTACTTAATCGTATCTCCTTAAGCTTTCTATGGATAAGAGGCGCATCTTATGTGTGGCATTTTCTTGAATCATTACTCGCGAAACATTTGCGGTTTCCCCACAATTGAAACGAATGAGAGAGCATAGTCTTGATTATCGTATAATCATAGACGTTTGCGTGTGCTTTGAAATAGATGTGTATAGACTGTTTTTTTTTTATCGAAATTGTAAATTTCATCAACGTTCGAGTATTTGGGAAATATTTCAGACAAGTTAAATATGCAATGGATCGTTAACATATGCAAAAATATGCAATAATTAATCTACGTCAATCAATTTTTAAAAAAGATAACTCGGATATATACCTAGTAAAGCATTTAATTTGTCATATCAAAAGTACAGGATATGCAAATTGCATATAATCCTCTTTCTAGTGATGACATTTCCTCACTATCAAGATATAAAATTGTACAATACTGGCGTCCATATACACATACAAAGTTGTAATAAAATAGGGCTGAAAGTTTTTTTTTATGTTTTCAATTCATTGAGTGACTGGTGCAATTTTCAAAATTACAGTAACATAATGAGAAAAGAGCATACGTAAGCCACCTTGTGCAATCCTTTGTTCATATTCTGCAGACGCGCTAAAAACACCGGCTCCAAAAGTGCCGCATGTGGGGAAGCAAATTAGTAACTAAGCCGTGACAGAGGAACTCAACTCTTTTTTATCCTTTGAGAGGTAGTTGGCTAAAATGATGAAAGGCACAGCTTCCATCTATGTAGGCTCATGACTAGTAGTTCGTAAACTGTTACGACCGGTTAAGATCAAAGAAATGGTTCGGAAGTTTTGATAAACCCTGTCCACACCGGATTCACAAACAGGTCGCGGAATAGAATGATGGTCTACAAAAAAAATCGAAGGATCGTTTCTACAAAACATCTTGCCCCAAGTACTCAACAACGTCTAAGAAAAAACTAAAAGCTATGAGTTTTTTTATCAAGAGATTGGTGCTTAGAGAGCTTACATTTTATAGCACGGTAGGTCCGGGTTCCGGGAATGTCTTGTTAAACAAGCCCTGCTTTCAGCCGACGATACAACACGTTACTTAATTAGATCTTATTCTTGTTCGCTTAAATCTGAATTGTCAGAAGAATGGTCCTGCGAAAAATAATGACAAGTACTTCTACATTTTCCGGGTTGAGTTTCGTGCAATTAAAAGGAGCTTGTCTTTTCTACGGCATCGCTGAATCGCCAACAATTAAAAGTATTTTTAAAATTATAAAACTATTTTGGCTATCAGCTTGTGGTTATCTCAATAATAAATTGATTATAAAAAAAAAACTCGATATATCAGCATCCATAATTAGGTGGGACGAAAAAAATATTTAAACTTTGTTTGTTTGAATAGAAACCTGTTTAAACTCGTTTCGAAGCACAATTATTTACGACAATTTTTTGTATAATGGTTGGAATGCTACGAAGCTTTGTGGTGGATTTAAACCGAAATTTCGTCGAGTCCGTTACTTTTAACGAACTGTTCGAAATTATTGTAAAACCTCTGAAATATTCATAAGATTTTCACAAGTTAATGTCGCAACAGCGCCGTAAATAATTTATCGTGTTTAAAACAGTCGAGACGTTAGTCAGCACAAGGCTGTTGCATTTTCAGCGTAAAGCCAACCCATGAAACTGAAATAAAAGAAGCTGACGCGCCCCATATTTGTATGCACACGAGCCATGTTTCGAATAAATTTTAATGTTTCCGCGTTTTGTTGAAAAGCGCCGAACGCGTCGGCAAATAATTTTACACACAAAGAGGGCCCACTACCTTACGTTTTTACGAAATATTCACATGAAAGCCTTCACTCGAAAATACACAACGACTATTAGGTCGTGCATAAACACATCCGCTTGATTCTGAACCGAGATTTCCATACGTGAGATCCGTCAAGAAATGTGACGTTTTTTGGAGGAAAACTCAATTATAATTCGGAATTTGCATGGAATTTTTATGTTAATGCGCCCGTGACGAATTCATATGATAACATCTTCAATGCTTACACACGGGAACTTACAGGCGGCCTCTGACGAATTAAACATTTTTGATACAGGCTGGTCGCAGGTGCAAAGCAAGTACCCGCACAAGCTAATTAAAGAAATTAAAAATGCGATGGAAATATTACCCGCATTGGACGGCGCTTTTTCTGAAAAAAACTGGATGCGTGGCGCACATCTGCCTCTTTACTCGTGAATAAGAAATTATTTATAGTTCAGTTGTTGCATAGCAAAGGGTACGTGGAGCACCTTGCTTATTACACTTTGCTTAACCCGACAGTGTGCTGCATTAATGGGTCGTTAACATTTTTTGAATAAGTCAGGAGCTGTACGACAATTTAATTCGTTTAGCAAAGCGGTTTTTAAGTGGTAGTTGAACTACTCTTTTACGTTTAAATTTGTACGCTATTACTTTGGTAATTTCAATTTCTCAACGATTTCTGTGAAAAATGGGCAACATATGAATGATTTTTGATTTTCTACAGTGAGTAATAAATTATTATTATTATTATTAGGACTCACCACTGACCCGAAAATGACCGGCATTGAGGCAAGGCTTCTATCATCACGGGTATTATTATCTAATCGCGTCACTTGAAATATGACCTACACTACTCTGACCTACTAGTGCTAACCTATTCTGACTGACATGATCAGACTGTTCGAGAAACTTACGAATAATATGACATGTTCCTAACAAAACAGCTGTTTGATTTTGACAATTATTGAATCATTTAAGTGTAATTATTTCAATTTCTCAACAAAACTATTTGGTACTACACCTACTTGGACATCATTAAAAGTAGAATTCAAATTTTCTCAAGATTTAGCATTGCTTTGATTTTTATTCATAATTGTCGATATTTTGAAATTTTGGTGTCTAAGTTTAGATTTGTTACTAAAAACCAAAGCGGACTGAGGGAATCCCCTTGAAAGATTCCTCTTCTGATCATTGTTGGATCTGATTGAATTGTTTGGTCATTTAAAGTTATTTGAAGGATGGTTTTCCCAAATTCCATTGAATATTTGAAATGAGCACATATTTTAGGTTCAACTTTATTATTACTATTTGCTGCCGATATTCCACTGCAGTTGCAGTCAGTCTACATACCTTATTGATTAGTGCCTAGCCACTAAAGTGTGTGTACCTATGTCAGCAACTAAAATGTTTTCTTTTATTTTTGGAACATTAGGTTCTACGAAACGTTTGTAAAGCTTTTACAGACAATTAGTGATGCAACGAATAGTATATTCGACGTTAAACCGAATAACGAGTATACGGCATAGGTATCCTTTTGCGGATTAACCGTATATTTGGTGAATTTTAACCATTAGGCACAGTTCTGGCACCTTTTAGATTCCAAGTGTAAGCTAGTTCATCAAATGAACGACTACTATCATGTTTTCTCAACGTTTCGTGATCCATAGAGTAGGTCCGCGTTTCCGTCTGTAAGTATAGTATGACCAGAAATATTGTGCGGATTCTGCCTCAAGCGTCCACTGACTTTCTTTAATTTTTATGACAGCTTAATCTGACACCCTTACAAACTTGCCGCAGCCCAGATGGTTGGAAAAGGGATTTTTTTTTTATAATACAATAACTGATCATCCCCACCACGAATTTGATGACGTCACCTCAAAAGATTCTATATTAAAATGATTTAAATGATATACCATAATACACTGCTTTACTTGTAGTGTACAAATCCGCTTTGAGTTTTTCCCCTAAACGTGCAAATTTTCTAAAAAAAATCCAAATTGCATTATCACTTCTTTGTTTTATCTTAAACTGTAGCTCTTATTTATTATCTACATTTTTTTTATTGATCAAATCTCTACAGTACACTCCAGGGGTTTATTATTAGTATTACACTGCACGTATCGGAATTGACATACGTGTCCTACCTGAAATAATGTTCATCGGAACGTTTTCAAATGGGAAAACTCGCTAGAAATGCAGGCATAACCCTGGCCTTGATCAATGTATTCATATTTCTGAAGCAATTGTTAATCCGTTTCGCCGTTTTTTTTTGACATCCAAATTTTTGGAAAAAGCCAAAATTGTATAACAACATTTTACAATTTAACTTAGACTCTGTTCTGAAATTTTGGAAACGTTTTAATATAACATTTATTTACGAATATACCAGTATATCTAAAAGGAAGAAAATCTGAACAAAAAATTGGTGGAAGATTATTTCGACAGAAATTTCCTCGCCCCTGAAGGACAACCCAACAAATCCTGCTTCTTCGAGAAATTAAAAACATTGATTTAGCTAACTTTTATTTATGATAACCTCTATACACTAAAACAAATATGATAGATAAGTAATACCAGGAACAGTGCCAAAAGCTAAATCGTAAAAATGTGCCTTGATATTCGATAATTTTTGTTTGTTTGTCTACGACATCCAACTTTTTTTAATGACACTTTATATTTTTTTTAGATTCTTGTTTTCCTATATTCATTAATGTATTATATTTTAATCAGTCATACGCCGCCACTGTTTAATTCGAGTGCATTATGTGACGAAAACACACTTGTCTGTATTTGGTCTGGAACTGTAAAATTTCGACTTTTTTGCCAAAATTTGGGTGTTTCGGGGAAAATCTGAAAACGAATTCATAAACAACAAATACAGCTATTTTATAAAATTTAAATCCTACTTGCTATGAAAAATTTTGAGGGAATGTCATCACA